AAATTTGCTAGCTAGTAAGTGTATTACCTTTCCCAGGCGACATAATGCCTTATGCTAAAATGTACATTTCCGTAATGTCTTTCACCAGTAGCATGGAGTTTGGGGGCTCCTTACAGAATATCCAGGGAGTTGTTTTTAGTCAGGCAAGCTTTCAAATAAAATCCATATACATAAATGTTTGTCCATGTCAATCATCACTAATATTACTCTGCTCAAGTATCTGAAAAAGTACATGGTTAAAATATATAGATATTAACTGACACAAAAGAAATTGCTAGGAATTTAAATCACAGTTAAGTAAAGTGGTTGTTAGCCATTAGTTAGTAGGAGAAAAAGGTCTATTTGGATAAACTGTCCAGTCCAAATTACACTATAGAACAACTGACCTCCCAGGCCTTCTGCTACCCAAACCACATGATGGAAGGAACAGCAGGAGAAGAAACCCTAGATATAAGCGCTGTGATTAAAAAGGAAACTGTGAGAAGCCAATAAAAATGTGTCTTGCTAGTCCAAAGACAGAGAAGTAGGAAAACATAGAACTCAAATCATAGTACCTGATCCATCAAATAATGAGTACACAATGATTCTATTTTGAGTGTATATATAGAGCATTTCTTCTGTAAAGTCAAAGAATGGTTATATCTTATATCTGTTACTCAAAAATAAATCCTATCTAGAAAAAAGGACCATATCCCTTCATTTTATTTGTCTTTGAAAAACTAAAGCGATAAAGGGTTAAATACTTTTTCTAAGTTTAAATGGCAAAATCTGGATGAATATCCAACTGTCCTGAGTTCTAAAGTAGACCATGTGATTTACATAAATATTGTATTTATTACATTATTTGTGGATTGTGTGCCCATGTGAGTGTGTATTACTTGGAGGGGTGGCTAGTATTGCAGTGAAATATACTGGTGGGCCTGGAGAGCACGTTCACATTCGTAGGTTCACAACTTCATAATCTCCTTCACTTGGGAGTCCTTGCCTTGAACGCTCCTGTTCTGCCTTGATTATCTCCATCTTATTCTGTGAGGCTTTGCTCAGGTCTTCCTTTTCCTGATAACTCTGAGCTGGATGTCTCTTTTCCTTTCTCCCACGGTTCCCTGTGCATAATGGGCTCCTTTCTGGGCTCCTATCACCTTGATCTGAAATGATCTGTGGTTACAGCAGCCTCTTGACTAGGCTTTAGGTGGTGCAGGGAGTTTGTTCCCTGTTGCACCCGTTGCGTAGCACAATGCCTGGCACAGTGGCGACGTCCAGTCAGCACTGACAGTACTGTTTCTTGAATGTCCCATTGGTATCCCAGTAACTAAATCTTCATTTAAACCACCCATATACAAAGTTCATGCTCTGTGGTTGAAAAAGTTCCAGTACAACTTAAGTTAGCAAAATTTCCATTACTTTATCATCTCATCTAATTCAGCATTTCCCATTTTGGCATTCCACGGAGTTGTTTTCTGAGAGATGCTATTAAATAAGAGTTCTGTGTTGGAAATGTGTCATTCAGCCTAGAGAGACAGCTAGGTTAGTGGCAGTAGCACACAGGTGCCGGAGGCCAGCTGCCAGCCCCATGGGGGGTGATTATCTCACCACTCTGTTTTCATCCCCTCTTCCTCCGTTAGAGAGGATGCATAGAGTCCTCCCTCATCAGGTTGCTGTCGGGATTTACTTAGTAGTAAGTACACAAAGTGTTTAGAATACATAGGAAGTGCTCAGAAAATGCTAGCTACTATTATTAAATGAAGTTACATAATTTTTCTTTTTTTTTTGTTTGCTGTAGGACAGCTCATGGCCTTTAATATGATAAATGTCATTAATATGCTTACCTGAATCTCTATTTCCCTAATTTATTTGAAAGACCTACTAGAAAATCCCAGAAGTAATTCACCTTGAAATATACTTTAGGAAATTCCTATTTTATCAATTTAAATTCATACTAACACCTTCTGAACCAAAATTGGGATACGGGTTTGACAAGTGTAAGATGTAGCCTGGGGCATTGGGACATAGTATTTGGAACAAGGACTGTTCTAGCAGACAAGCAGACAAGTAAATAAGACCTATGTATTACTGCATTTTAAAGTATTTCTTTTTAAAAACTTTGAAGTGCAAATTAAATGACTTTTATTGATTCTAAAGTGAGGACTGCAAATATTGTTCAAATAAAAAACCAACTAGGCTTCATGCATCATTTTTTAATATAGTTGGAGAATATTACTGGATTATGACAAAGGGCTGGACTTCCTTATTCAAAAACTCATACAATTTATCTTAATTGTGGGGCATCTGATAAGAACTTCCTCTAGAGCCAGGAAACTTTTCAAGTATGAAATATTTGAAAGGCGGGGTTAAAGAAGGAAGTAACTGACTTACACAAAAAAGAGGAACGAGTTCTAAGCCAGAGCAAGTTTAAAACATAACCAAAAGAACAAAACGGTGCTTAGCATTCAAATCTCAAGGTGAGTAAGAACCTGATTTAAGCTGTTTGGGTAATAAAAACTGTATTTAAAAAAAAAACCTAGCTCATTTTAAATAATTAATGACTTTATTTTATCAAACAGTGTAGGAAAATTGGCATAGGTGGCCATTGGGTGAAAAACCAATTTAGAAACTGAGAGTGACATTCCTGTTTCTTTACCAGTATGTAGGCTCACAAGTATAAGATTATGCTTCGTTGTTGCCTATTTTCCAAACAGAAGGGCAGTATCTGATTTGAAAAATTTCAGAAGTTTGTCAACAATTTGTGATTTAAAGACAAATGAATAATTGTTAGGTAATCTGTTGGAATTATTTTCCAAAACAAAAGCAAATAGTCTTCTTTCAAATTGGGCAAAGTGAAACTTGTAAGTTATATTTGTCGGACTGTTGTTTAACATATGTCTTCATTCTAGTAGGTCTTTGCTTATTTCTCGCAGGTTTTTTCCTAATAAGTTATTCTGAAGAAAGGGAAAGGGTGCATTTACTTTCCTGTATAATGTCTCCTTGTCTTTATCTCAGTGAACACTTTTTTTTTGACAATGTTAATATTGGGAATGTACTAAAATGTCTACTCTATATAGAACAACACTGATTATAAAAATGAATCCTCCTCTTGGAAAACCAGAGAACAATTTATTACCTTATCCTTAGGAGATTATAGTTAGCTTTCCCCACTTCTGTTGTAGTCCCAGCACCTTTTAAAAAGCTGATTAATTTTGATCAGTATTTGAATTTAGTTCATATATGTTGGCAAATATTTGCTTAACTGAGTAATCATTTATACTGTAAAATATCTTACATATGGTCAGTTCTCATCTGTTACAAAAAGGAATTGGGGTCCTCATGGTTAAAGTCACTTGCCAAACCTTTGCCCTTGAACACAAGCAGTGTCTGGCCTTAGAGAAGGAGGGAACCTACAGACCTTCCAAAGAGGTTAAAAGATGTCACGATCTGGGATGTCTGTCCTATAGTTTCATCAAATACATTTTACAAGTTAATTACATGTCATATTTCATTTGTATTTCCTTTGAAATGCCAGGTTGAAAAGTTGTACAGTGATGTATTCCAACCTTGAACAAATTCAGAAAAGTTCACTGTTGTACATGAATATTCACTGGGAGTAAGGCACAATTTCCTGTATTTTCTTTTTTCCTATTATCATTACGGTTGTTATCTTAATAATTTGTTAACAAATATTTAATAAATTAGCTCTTCTGTGTCTAGTGCTGCTGCTAGTAATATAGATAAATAAGATGTGCTTCCCAGCCCTCAAGAACCTCAGAGCTAATCAAGCTTTAAAAATTTAGTGATGGATGTGCTTGATAAACATTTAAAAAAACTTAGGTAAGAATAATATTGGGGGGAAAGTTTTATTTGAGTCTAGAATTAATCACTTCTTAGTTGTTAAAGAAGTTATTTAATTTTTTTAATCCTCTCTTCTCATACATAAAATAGATTTAACAGTAGTATGTATTTCACATGACAGCTATGCATGGTAGGGTTAATGAGATAATCCATGTAAGTGTTTAGAAGCTGACCCCAAATACCTAAATATTATTGATGTTGACATTCAATAGATGATGCTAATCACCCCATATGCACTATTAACAATAGTGGATGACTATAGTTAACAATACTTATTGTATACTAAAAGTTGCTAAGAGCATAGATCATAAAAGTTCTCATCACAAGAAAAAAATTATAAGTGTGAGTAATGGATGTTAATTAAATTTAGTGTGATAATCAATTCACAATATATACATATATCAAATCATCGTGTTTTAGACCTTAAACAAATACAATGTTTTATGTCAATTATATCTCAATAAAACTGGAAGTGGACATTGAGATTTGCAGATACTACTACTATATATAAAATAAATAAACAACAAGTTTATACTGGACAGCACAGGGAACTATATTCAATATCATGTAGTAACATATAATGAAAAAGAATATGAAAATAAATATATGTATGTATATGTATGACTGAAACTTTGTGCTGTACACCAGAAATTGATACAACACTGTAAACTGACTATACTTCAATAAAAAAAGAAAAATAAATTAAAAAAATAGAAAGCTAAAAAACTGGAAGAAAACAACAATGACAAGAACAATACTGGATGTAACTATTTCTGTGTCTAGGATAAAATGATACAGTAATAATGTTTTGATAAAAATCATAATAGAGCACTTGGTCTTGTTGAACACTGCCAGTTCCTCTCCTCTTTGCCATTTTAAAACATCGACAGATAACACTCTAAAATTATCTTATTTGAATGAAAGTTATCTGCTGAAAGTTGTGAGAAGACTAGTGACAGGAAGGCTTTCCAATTTTGTTTTAAATACTTTGGTTTCAGGTATTTTGTGTTACATCAAAGAGCTCTTTTCTTCTAAGTACATACTATACCTTTTATGTCTTGAATTTTAAACTATCAACTTAAACTAATGACTCCAAATCTCAGCATCTAAGTTTATGTAATCATTCATTCAATAAATATTGATTGTCTCTTCTGTAGTAGGTGTTATGCTGTTCTCTAGGAGTGTACAGAGGAAAAGACCTGATCTCTGTCCACAATTTAACCAGGTAGGGAGACACACAATTTCCTATAATTGAGGTTGTCATGCTGTAATAGAGAATTGACTCATTAATATGGGAATACAGAGTAAGGCATGATTAAGGAAAAGACATGGTGCCTGATCATACAAAGAGGGACAGGCAAGGCTTCACAGGAGGGGATGGTGGTGATGGAAATGACTGCACATGTATACTCTGGTCCCTTTCCTCCCATTGCATTCAGAGCGTTATCTTTCTCTTGAAATGATCAGCCTTATTGTCAAAAACTATGTTGCAGTCTAAGTGATAAAACTACTCAGGCTGCTGCAGGGACAGGCTCTTAATTTTAACTCTTTTTCCCTCCTCACAACAGCTAGTGCTGTATTCTATACTGAAGGAAGAACTCACTAAATGTTGATACTTAATGTAGTAATAGAAATAGGTGGATTTTTTTGTTATGCAATGTAATAAATATGGAATTAAAATGTTTTCAATTTATAGCAGGCAGCTGGATGGCAAATCGTTCAACCTTCCCTTTCTTGAGTTTTCTACTCTGCTGTTATCTTCTGCCCATTTGTGCTTCATTGATAGAAAAGGAAGTAAAGCTGAACAAAATTCGCCCTGACACAGTGCAGTTATACAATAATAGTTATATAATCATCAGATACAAGAACTATCTTCTCTCCTCTGATGACATCAGGACTTCACCAAATGATTTTCTTTCATATCTGAAACAGAAATGCCTAAGTGAGCTTCCGGAATTACTTTTGAACCATACCCTGCAAAGAGTTACATCGGTCTGCACCTGTGAATTCAGTAAGGGCTACACCATACTATCAAACGACACCATTAGTGCGAAAATGCTGGAAAGCTGTGGAAATGCTTCCGTGGCCATTCCTATAGGAATTTCCCTCCTTTTACTGTTGGTGATCTGTGGAATTGGGTGTGTTTGGCACTGGAAACACTGTAATACAATGCAAGGTTTCTTACCAAGGTTTTTGCAGAGGAGAAAAAGCAGGAGAAAAGACTATTCTAAAACACTCCCTTTAAGTCCCCAGGTTATCAGCTCAAGGTATAAAATCTCAGTTCAAACTCAAGACCACAGCTCTGCTGGGGTGAACGCTAACATAGATGACAACTATGAAAATGTGGAAAGGGGTCCTCCTAAATCAAAAGAAGACAACAATAAGGAACTATATGAAAACACTTGGCAGACCAATTTCGAGGAGCATATCTATGGAAATGAGACACCATGTGACTATTATAACTTCCAGAAGCCTAGCACTTCTGAAGCCCCACAAGAAGAAGACGTATATATTCTTCCAGATTCATACTAAATTTTCCACATGGGGGTTTAGTTATTAGAGGATAAATATTCACTGGGACTTGTGCTGATATCATTATTAGTCAAGTTCTTCTGATGGAATTTAATCTCCACCCTTCTGAATCTTCTCTGTGTATCACTGGGGATTAATTCCAGAGATCTTCTCCACCCTCCTTGCCCTAGATCAATTCCACATTATGTTACATTGATTCTTTCTTCTAAATGTGACTTGTTATCTTTCTCTTCTTTTTCTGTATCCACAGTCTTTGTCTGTCACAGTCTGCCAACTAGCCTTTCTGGCTCAAGTTTCTACACACTCGGTGATGCTGCTCCAGCCCCAGGATGCTACCAGATTTATCTTCAGAAAATATTCCCAATGACCACATCACTCCTTTGTTCCAAACCTCTTAATGTCTCCTCTTTGTAAAAGATAGAACACTCAATAATTCTAACTCCAGAATTCATGATTTTCCATAGTTGGTTCAAATTTACTTTTCCAATGACTTCTACTAATCCCTCAAATTCTCTGCTCCCATCAAAATCATCTCAAAACCTGCCAAATGCATCCCTCCTCCACAGCTTTGCGTAGGCCTGCCTTGGCCATAACTTCTTACACAAGTCTTCTGAATCATTCCAGACCTAAGTTTACCTTTTTCTGATGTCCTGTAGATTTTGTTGCCTGTGCATTTCTTTGGGAAACATGAATGTTTGCAATGACATTTTATTACTTAATGTCATATGAGAATGTCCTAAATTCTCTCCTTAAATAGTAAGGGACTGCCTAATATTCACATTTTGGCCTTAATGCCTAGACCATCTTATGAGGCACTCAATATTGTTCATTTGACAAGAATTGGATTGTACGTTTTGCTAAGTTGTTTTGGAAAAAAAATGAATAAATTCATCCATCCAAGGAATATTTATTGAGTACCTTCTATTTTCTTCTTACTGTGCTCTGCATCTGGAGGGGTAAAATAATAAAAAGAAAGACATGGGTCCTGAACATGTATTGTCAAATAGGAAAGAAAAGACAATAAATAAATACTATACCATTTATTAAGCTATGATACATCCTCTCTAAACCCACCCTTGCATGTGCTGCTGTAAAATTGCTCAGACTGGAACTCCGCAAACTATATTTTCTCTTTGCCGGGTTGATCTGTGTTAAGGTCTGTCAATAGGGGGCAGTAAGGAAGACTGGTAGGCAGTAGGAAGCAAAAGGGGCTTGGTCCTTCTTGTTCTCCTTTTGTCCTGAGACGGTACTGTTGTCACTTAATTTACTCCAGCATCACCGGTTGGTTGCAGTTTCTAGTTCCTTCTAGCACTCCCAGAACCAGCTGCTTTGCACCTTGTCGGAGATGCCAGCACCAGCCAGGCAGCACCCTTTCCTGGTCTCTGAGAATCAGCTCTCCAGGCCCTCCTCCAAGCTCCCAAGGGACTGGCAGGAAACAAACAAGCTCTGGGTCCCATCCCTGCAGGGCACCTCCTCCTAATTTCTGATAATCCCTGGTCTAGGTAGGGTGGCTGTTTCCTGCACCTCTAGGGTACCTCAGTGTCCTCTTTTTGTCTTCTCAGTCTACCAATATTTTTTAGCTAATGCTTTATATTCACTTCTCTCTTTTAAAACAAACTTGTATGGTTTGTTTTCCCAAGTGGACCCTGAATAATACAAATAAAAATAGTATAGTAGGTGTTGTGAAGGAAAAAAAAAGCTTTCTGGTTTTGAGAACAATGGAGTTGGGCAAGGGAGAGGATTTGGATTTTAATAAAATGGCCCAAAGGGGCATCTTTAAGGACACACTTAAGCTGAGGCCTGAGGGTAAAGGGGTTATCCGAGTGAACGTGGCAGGGGACAGGGATGGGACCAGCATGTGAAAATAATCTGAGGCATGGGGGAGTTTATGGTACTCTGGGATCTCAAAGGAAGCCATGATGGCTGGAGCTTAGTTGAGAGTGCACTGAAATGACACCTGATACATTGGTAAAGGAGGGAATCATAGACGATGCATTTCCCTTGGGTCTTGGTCAGTGGCTTAGACTCAAATATGGGTGCAAATGGAATCTAGTAAACGTTTTAAGCAGAGGAGTGATGTGATAACATTTACTTTTCTTTGTAAAGAGCTACTGGGTTGAGAAATGACTGGAAAGGGCCAAGGTGGAAGTGGGTAGGACAGTGAAGAATATTGTTCTCTTGACCTCTAGATTGGTCCTGGAGCAGATGGTCATTTTTGAAGTCTCAAAGAGGAAATTTTTTGCTAGAATAATCAATATTCATGCCTACCTAGTGCTCAATCATAGGAGCTGAAAATAGCCTGACAGAAAGACCACCAGAACATATCTATGTCTTGGTAGGACCCTGGAGATCAGGCAGGAATGAGTGGGGGAGGTAATCCAGAACAGCTGTAGTGCTGTTATTTTAAGGGAGGTTTGAGCCTCACCACTGAGGTGACAAGCCACAGGTGGGTGCTGGAGAAGCCACCTTAAGTGTCTGGTCTAAGCAGTAACTGGGAGGCGGTAAAGCAAGGTTTTCAATGGGTTAAGCGGAAGCCCATTTGCCATGGAGGTCACTAATAGACTGGGATAGATTACTCTACCCCAGTATTGGGGTATATTAATATTACCTTTATGTTGAATTGTAAGTCAGATTGAAGTGAAATGTTGCAGGTTTCAGCCTGAAAGCAAGGTCAAGAAGCCAGGTGTGTGCTGTTGCTGGATGCTGGCCATGAAGTTTAACAGAGACTAACTGCAAGTCACAGGATGTGAACGTGCCTGCGTTTCTGTGAGTACCTACCAAAGCCACCATCATTACACCGATGCTACTGTGTCCCCCACCCTCAACATCCTTCCTCTTTTAATTGTGGTACATGTGGTTTGTTTTGCTAATAATATAACACAAATTGCTGCTCTCAACTGACGTACAAACCTTGTTCTCTTTAGTTCTCGAGGACAATTTTCACTTTTGAGATTTTTAAGAAAACAGGAATATTGTAACAAAGGCTGCAGACAGTGGGTGGAAAGTTGAAAGGGGAGGTGGGGAAGGAGAAGGAGGAAGAGGAGGCAGAGAGGGGAAATGAAAGAAGGAGGGAGAGAAGAGAGAATGGAAAGTAGGAGAGGGGACGGGGGAACAGTGAGTGTGTAGTAAAGAGGGAAGGTGAGTGTCCTCGTCCTTTACTCCCTCCCTTGTCCTGTCACCCCCAAGAATTGCTAAGAAGGTAAGTAGACATAGAAAGAAGGCAGAAGTTGCCTGCCTTTACTACCTGATTACCTTGTTGGGTGTAGATGATAACTGGCTACTAGCAAACACAGGAGTAATTGACATACCTTTGTGGGGGTAGTTTACTTATATGCTCACTAGCCTTCTTGCCCGTCCTCAAAGTTGTCTGAATTTAGGGACCTTACATTCTCTCCACCTTGAATGCTCTTCCCTCAGACATTCACATTGGGACCTTCTCATTTCTTTTGTTTCTTTGGTCCAAAGACAGCTACTCAGAGCTGATAACCCAACCTGAAACGACCCCCTACCGTTTATCTCAGACCCTTTACCTTGTTTTAGTGTTCTTCACAGCACTTACCACCACCTGGCACGTGTTTGTGTGTGTTTATAATCCGTTGTCTTTCCCTAGAATGTAAACTCCCTAAGGGCAGAAACATTTTCTGTCTTACTTCCTGCTTGATTGACAGGACTTTGCTTATAGGAAATTCTGTTATGTTTGCTAATCAAATCACTAAGGTTTGTTCCTTGAAGACTAACATTTTTACTGAAATTGCTGAAGTATTCTGGAAAACAGTATAATAGGAAGAGTTGTGTATGTTATTTTGAACATCACTAATATGTAAGGCTCTATTAAGCCAGGTTTGTATATAAATTCAGTGCCATACAACTTCTTTGCCATTTCAGTCCACAGGAGCTTTGTTCCTGAGACCCCAGTCAGTGGGGCCAGGTGGTGCCACATCTGGCAGCACGGGGGCAGAGTTCATCAGGCACTTAGCCAGTGGGGAGATTGGATATGGGGCTCTGAGGAGAAGAGGGAAAGGAAAGAAACCAAGAAGGGGGAAGACGATGCCTGTTTCCATATGTTTAACTGCCCTTCTAAGCCACAATAACCAGTTTTTACAATTTAGGGAGTGGTAAGTTAGTCCAACATTCCCTTTTGAGTGCTTATGTGATGTGAGCGCTTGCAGCCTGGTATGTATTCTTGCTCCCTCTTTTCCCTTCTCAGCTCCTTCACAAGTTCGGTTTCTCTTGTGTACACATTCAGTGCAGGGTTCTTTAAGGAGGCTTCCCTTGGCTTCTGGCTCCTTCTCCTCATACTCCTTCCCTAGGAGACTTAAATATTTATGCAAAAACTCTCCTGCCCCATGGTCCTTTTGAAGCATTTCACCCACATAGCTCACCTTCTAATGCTTATTTCCCTATGTCCTTCAGACATCTGAAATTCAGCATGGGCCAAACTGATGGCTAGGGATCAAGGTTTGGATGTCACTCAGAAATCGAGATGGAATTAGTGATGGAATCAGAGAAGGCTGGGAGATGAAGGGAGGGTATCCATTGCACAGGTTGCTTGCTAGTAATTTCAAAAGCTAACAGTTGAGAATGTCCCAGTGTCAAAAACAATGGTCTCAAAATATCATGGTATCAGTGTACCATGTACTGAGTAGCTACATCTTCAACATCCATGCCTGGCATAAACAGACAAGGTTTGTCCTGTGATTCTGAGTCACTGAATTCAGGTGGTGTCACATATGGAAAACTGTATCTTTCTGCTCTTCCCCTGACTTCTGAGTGATGAGCTCTGAAACATAACACTGTGTGTTTAGTAGCAAGAAGGGACCCAGGGCTTGCTGGTGTCAGGCTAGGGGGCTTGTCAGATCACTGCAAGTGAACGGCTTAGTAGTAATACTTCATTTACTTCAACATTTTTGTTTGTTACTTATTTATTTTTAAATCTTTTTAGGATCATTACATTGAGCTGGACCTAAAACTCAATGGTTAATGGACTAAATCATGAAAAAAGCAGACTGAGGATTTTAGAATTTGTCCACTTTGAATGAATGGATATCTACCAATATCCCTGCAATGGATAGGAAGATTGCAGATAGATCTTGAATAAAAGCACCTGCTGGTTGATGCTTATAGTTGAGTAGACAGGAATTTGCAGAACATCAATATCATGAAATTATAACAAGTGATTCTAATGATCTAGTCACAAATATTTATCAAGTGACTAAAAGAACACTGGAAATTCAGCAGAGGGATTTGTGGTTAGAAGGTGTGGGGCAGACCCTGTTTCTGCATTCAGTGGGCATATACATACTAAGGAGTTCTGATGCTTACACGGGCTTCTAGAATGTATTAGGATAATGGTGTGATAGGGAAACACCTGGTGTATTGGACAACTAACTAGGCTTGGGGTTAAGAAACAGACCTGGAGGACAGTTAGGAGCTAGCCAGACAAAGAGGCTGAGGGAATGATGTTTCAAAAAAAAAGGGACAGCTTATGTGAGGACCCAGAGTAAAGAGTGTGTTCAAGAGTCAAAGGAAGACAAATACCACTTAAGTGTAGAGGGTTGGTGGAAAGGGCAAGAGGAGGGTAGTACCTATAAATAAAGGTCAGCCAATACAGGTCTTCATATGACAAGTTGAGAAGTTTGGGCTTTATCCTGACCAAGCTGAGATATGCAGCTATGATAGCAGAATATGGCCATGGAAGGCACAAATGACATTGATTTTTCCAAAAACCATAGGGTATTACAAGTGAAGAATTTCCCAGCTACAACAGAATATGAGAAGCAAGAGTCTGAGGTTCAGGATATAGGAATTAATTTCAAGAAGCACATGTCTATGATACATGATATATGCTACAATAAGCAGTGCTCTCCAGTGTTTTTTTAAGGCTCTCATAGCTTTTAATTTAAA